GGCAATATAGGAAGATTCCATCTCTATGAATAATAAAAAACAAATGAAATAAATAAAAAGGAAATGTTGCCAGGTAGACCGGAAGAACCTAGCAGTGGACTGGATATGAGAGGCAGTATGAGCAGTGGTCAAGGCTGTAAGCTTTGAGGTCACATAGACCTGCTCTCACAGCTAGGCTCTGTGTTGACCTTAAGCAAGCTGTGTAACCACTCTAAGTCTCTGGTTTCTCGTCTGTAAAATAGGGGATAGTAATAGTCCCTGTCTCATAGAATTGGTAGAAGGATTAAATGAAATAATGTGCCTTAAATACCTAGCCCAGAGCCCGTAAGTGCCCCACAAGTATTAGCTGCTACTACTATATTTTAGTTATATTGAGATATAATTCACATACCACACAATTTGCCTATTGTACAGTATACTGTTGTTTTTTGTTTTTTGTTTTTTAGTGTAGTCACGAGACTGTGCAGCCATCACCACTATTTAATTCTGGAACATTTTCCGTACTTCCAAAAGAAACCTCATATACTTAGTGTCACTCTCCATCTTCCCTGTAGCCCCTAATCGCTAAGCTACTTGCTGTGCCTGTTCTGCACATTTCATGGAAAGGGAATCATATGCTATGTGGACCTTTGTGACTTGCTTCTTAGTGTGAGGTTTTCAAGGTTCATCCATGGTGTACCATGTGTTAGTACTTCACTCATTTTTATTGCTAAATAATATTCCACTGTATGGACAGACTACGTTTTGTTTATTCATTCTTCAGTTTATGGCTATTTGAGTTGCTTCCACTTTTTGGCTGTTATGAATAACTCCATTTTAATTTTATTTTTAAATTAATTTGAGATGGAGTCTCACTGTCACCCAGGCTGGAGTACAGTGGCATGTTCTTGGCTCACTGCAGCCTCCATCTCCGAGTTCAAGTGATCCTCCCCTCTCAGCCTCCCTAGTAGCTGGGACTACAGGGGTATGCCACCACACTTGGCTAATTTTTGTATTTTTAGTGGAGATGGGGTTTCACCATGTTGGCCAGGCTGGTCTCAAACTCCTGACCTGAGCTGATCCACCTGCCTTGGCCTCCCAAAGTGCTGGGATTACGGGCGTGAGCCACCGCACCCAGCCAAATAATGCCATTATTAACATTCATGTACTAGTAAGTTTTTGTGTGAACATATGTTTCCATTTCTCTTAAGTATATACCTAGAAGTGGAATTGCTGGGTCATATGATAACTGTTGAACGTTTTGAGGGGGTGCTAGACTGTTCTCCAAAGTGACTCCACTACTTTACATTCCCACCAGCAACATGTAAGTGTTCCAGTGTCTCCACAGCTTTACCAACACTTGCTGTTGTCCATCCTTTAAAGTATAGCCGTGCTAGTGGGTCCGAAGTGGTTTCTTGTGGGTTTGATTTGTGTTTCCCTAGTGACTAATGATGTTAAACATCTTTTCTTGTGCTTATTGGCCATTTGTATAGCTTTTTTTTTTTTTTTTTGAGACAGTTTTGCTCTCATTGCCCAGGCTGGAGTGTGGGGCATGATCTCAGCTCTGCAACCTCCGCCTTCTGGGTTCAAGTGATTCTCGTGCCTCAGCCTCCCGAGTAGCTGGGATTACAGGCATGCACCACCATGCTCAGCTAATTTTGTATTTTTAGTAGAGACGGGGTTTCTCCATGTTGGTCAGGCTGGTCTTGAACTCCCGACCTCAGGTGATCCGCCCACCTTGGCCTCTCAAAGTGCTGGGATTACAGGCGTGAGCCACCTGGCCCAGCTGTTCATTTGTATATCTTCTTTGGAGAATTGTCTATTCAAATTCTTTGCCCATTTTTTAATTGAGTTATTTGTCTGTTTCTTATCGAATAGTAAGAGTTTTTAACATATTCTAGATACAAGTTCCTTATCAGATACATGATTTGCACATATTTTCTTTCATTCTGTGGGTTGTCTTTTTGCCTTCTTTGTGATATTGTTGGCAGCACAGAATTTTTAAATTTTGCTGTAGTCTAATTTGTCTTGATT